TAGAGTCATGTGGGAGGTATAGCATCCTGCCTGGCCACTCCCACCTTCTACGACATTAACCCTTTGACTGTCGAAACCGCAAATCCTGAAGTGTGTCCTGGTGCCAAAAAACTTATGAAAATGTTAAGATTGTTTTTCTGATTGTTTAATTAAAGCCTCCCCCCCCCAAAAAAAAATTGCGATCAGTACTTACCGAGATATAGAGGCGTAAAGTTGGCAGAAAATGAGCCGCGTATGGCAACAGTGGCAAATGTCGCTCACCTGGTAAATGTTTTTTTTCACTCCCATTCGAAGGTACAGTGGACCCCCGCTTAACGATCACCTCACAATGCGACCAATTATGTAAGTGTATTTATGTAAGTGCGTTTGTACGTGTATGTTTGGGGGTCTGAAATGGACTAATCTACTTCACATTATTCCTTATGGGAACAAATTCGGTCAGTACTGGCACCTGAACATACTTCTGGAATGAAAAAATATCGTTAACTGGGGGTCCACTGTATCTTGCTTTTTCCACCACTACATTATTTCAGGTAACTTATGTGGCCTGTGAGACCAGAGTAAGGTGTAATGTACATATATACACTCCTTGTATACAACACAATAAGTGCACAAATATAATTATCAATATACTGTTTACAAAACTTGTTTACATAAACAAACAATACAAAAAATCGTTTATTACCATTGTTCTATAATATATATACACATAGTCACTGGACACTGTCATATAACTGTTATTATCTTCAGCACGCTTGTGTTGTGTGTGAGTGTGTGGACTTCTAATGTGTTGAGTCAGGGTCTGGCAGCTGTCAAAATGACAAATTGTATCATTACTTACTCCCCCTACCGCCTGTCAAAACAATGGGGTCGGATGCTCGCTTCCCCTCCATCCTACCTAATTATCTTTCTTCTTCATTCTCTCTTTCTCTCTCTCTCTCATTCTTTCTCTCTCTCTCTCTCTCTCTCTCATTCTTTCTCTCTCTCTCATTCTTTCTCTCTCTCTCTCTCTCATTCTCCTTCATTTTTCTGGTATCCTGGGCAATGCTTTTGGTCACAAACTTTCCAAAATCATGAAACTGATCTTCTGCGACACTTCCATCTGTGTTAGAGCATCACTTGGGAAGAGAAGAGTCCCAGATTTGCCGGGAGTCAGATATTTCTTACCGCTAGGCATGATGAACAAGGACTACTGAAATGGCATTCCCACAATGCACCACTGGCTCCCCAATTATTTTTATATGGTGCACAAAGACCATGGAGACCCATTCTCTCATATATGGGCCTACCAGCTTTCTCCTGCTTGATTTGAAGCTGCCAGAATTTTGGCGTATTAATACGTCAGACACAGTGGCTCGTAAGACGTATATATACGAATGAAACAGTTAAATGGTTAAGCTCTCTTGAGTGATAAAATGCATATCCAGTACACTCATTAATTACCCTAGAATATTTGTAGTCTTAATGTAGGGTGAGAGGTGAGTTTTATTTGTATGAAATCAGGTTGGGAAGTACAGGTAGCCAGAAAGGGCAGCCCTCACCACCCCACCCCACCCAGACGTTGTTATGGGACTATGGGACCCAACACACATTGATGTATATAAGTAACAGTTACTCTGGAATACCTAATTATATTGAATTGATGGGGACTCAGCTCTAAATGTCATAAGGGCAGATCACTCTTATGGCCTGTCAAGCCTGTTTTTCTCAATATAATAAGTTATACTATAGGCACACACACACAATTTAAATAAGTAGTTTGTAAAGTTGTATTTCTTTTTGTAACAGTAAAATAAGGTGTGGCAGAACTGTGGTAACTAGAGAATTGTGCTTGTCAACAGTCTTTTATTTTTTGGTGGGTATGGGAGGAGCTTAGCTAGGCTCCTCCCTCTCTCTCTCTCTCTTGGTGGACTTCAAGCTGGTGGGACCTCTGGGTCTTTCTTTCTATTTTTTGGGGCATTGTGTGTGCTCCAGGGGTGAGTTTTTATAACTTAAGTTGTGGCCACCATACCCACAGTGACTAAAGTGTGTCAAAACACTGGTTAGCCCAGAGATTAGTCATGAAGAGAGAAGGGCAAATTGTTGAGATGCACCATGTGGGAGAGCAGCTAAGGAGTGTGTAGACTTATGTTTTGAATATGTGAGTGCTGTAATTGTATATTCTGTACATATCTATTTAGAATACAGTTATATTTTTATAGTAGTAGTTTAAATAACCTGTTAAGAGGGCTGGTGAAAGGATATCAGAGACACTGAGGATGATCAGTCATGATGTAAGTATTACCCTAGACAGATTAGGCCATTAAGTAAAAAGCTACCCCACACTACGACCTGTAGTGAGAACCTTACTATCAAAGTAATAAGGGACAACAACATAACACACGTAATGTAAACAAACCAGACAAACGTGTCTGGTTTTCGTCACTTTAGATTGTGTACAAGTTATTTTCAGATTGATACAGTAGAATAAATGAAGAGAAACACTCCCATTCTCATGTAACACCATTCTTAGAAGAAATGACGCCCTGAGTGAAGGCATATTAAAAAAATAATTTTCTAGCTAACCCCAGTAATATTATAGTGTACACATTTTCTTTGATGTTGGACTACAAGTTGCCTGGCTACCACAAGTCCTACAAGTCGCCTGGCTATCACAAGTCCTACAAGTCGCCTGGCTACCACAAGTCCAACAAGTCGCCTGGGTACCACATCTCATATTTAAGTTAATTTATTCTACTGTGGAGTGTACTTAGATGGATTAAGCAAAATGTCTATATTAATGTTTTATATGATATTTAATGCACCTCAGTGATTATTATTGTTATTATTATTAATATGCCAACTTCAAGACTAACAAGACACTCTTAGTGATTTTAATGTGCACCTGCATGCCAGCACAGTGCGTAAGCTTACTTAGGTACAGGTACACAATAGTATGATTATCAGTTAAAATAATACCCTAAACGTCTACAACAAACACTGCCCAATCAAAATGAAACAATCACAGAAAAGAGGCTAAGCAGCCCATGGCTAACTAGAAGTATCCTCAAATCTATTAATAAAAAACATCAACTTGAAAAGCAGCTCAGATTAGGGTTAATTACTAAAGAATTTACTAAAAGATACACATCAATACTAGCAAACCTAATACGTAAATCAAAGCATATGTATTATGAAAATAGATTTAGTGAAATGAAAGGTGACATGAAAAGTACCTGGCAAACCCTCTCCAAAATTCTGGGCTCAAGGAAACTGACTGGAAATAGAGAGATAGACCTAACTAAACCAGATGAACCTCACATGCAACCTATAGACATGGGCGACAAATTTTTTGTCTTCTTCTCTACTGTAGGATCAAAGCTAGCGAGTCAAATTCCTAGTTCAAATACCCATCTGAGCGAGTACCTCACTGGCAACTATCCAAATACTCTATTTCTAGCTCCAACTAATCCCACTGAAGTCTCACTCATCATTAACCCTTTGACTGTTTTGGTAGTACAGTGGACCCCCGGTTAACGATATTTTTTCACTCCAGAAGTATGTTCAGGTGCCAGTACTGACTGAATTTGTTCCCATAAGAAATATTGTGAAGTAGATTAGTCCATTTCAGACCCCCAAACATACACGTACAAACGCACTTACATAAATACACTTACATAATTGGTCGCATTCGGAGGTAATCGTTATGTGGGGGTCCACTGTATATATACGTCTTACGAGATACCGTGTTTGACATGTACATAGTCATAAATTCTAGCGGCTTCAAATCAAGCAGGAGAAAGCTGGTAGGCCCACACATGAGAGAATGGGTCTCTGTGGTCAGTGTGCACCATATAAAAAAAATCCTGGAGCACGCAGTGCATAATGAGAAAAAAACTCCAACCGTTTTTTTAATTAAAATTCTGACTTTGTGGTCTGCTTTCATATAGTATTTATGGTTGTATTCTCATTTTGTTGGTCTCATAGCTGTTTCTAAAGAAACAGCTATGAGTTTGGTCGAATGGAACAACAGAAATAGCCGAAAATAGGGCTCAAAGTGGGCGAAATTGCCGATTCGTAAATATCGCCGAGGTCGCTAACTTCACGAAAGCGTAATTCCGTCAGTTTTCCATCAAATTTCGTTCTTTTGATGTCATTACAATCGGGAAAAGATTCTCTATCATTTCATGAGAAAAAAAATTTTTGTTTTTTCCGGAAATTTTGCGACACCAGGAGACACCTCAGGGTTTTGGGTTGCGACAGTCAAGGGGTTAAGATTTAGGTAATTGGGAGATTTTTGGCAAAGTTAAATAATGAGTATTGAATATTTAGTTTAGGGTGAGTAGGTGGCTTTTGAGAACAGCATTAAATTGGTGTTCAGAGCTGGTTACTTTAGTATTTACTGGTAATGAATGCCAAATTTTGGGGCCCTTTATGTGCATAGATTTTTACACAGTGAGATATGGACACAGGGTACATCAAAAAGAGATCTGTGTCTTGTGTTGTGGTTGTGTCCTGTTAAGGTTGGTGAGGAGAAGTTTTAGTGGAGGGTTTATATTTGAGTGTAGTGTTCTCATATTCAGGAGGGAAGATGGTAAAAAGAATTAAAAGGATAGAGAATAAAAAACAATAAGTCAGACTGGAAGGAAGGAGTGTGGAACAATGCATTTACATCTTTGCAACATAAGAACCTGACCATCCAGTGAGCAAAATGTGGTTACAGTCAGTGGAGGCAAGTGGTTTATGGAAATAGGCACACTGTTGGAGTTTGAGTTAGGCAATATCTATGACAAGATTTACTGAAACCTGCTGACCAGAACCAAGCTTTAGAAGGCAGGAAATATAGTGCTTACCAATTAAAAGTGGACCAGGGCTGTTGTAGGTTTGTGGGTCAACAATACATACTACAATCTCTTCTAATTTACAAAAGGCAGTGCAAGGTTGGTGTATTACAAACCTTACACTGAGTTGTATTCTACAATTAAAATAACATCAGCCCATTCCTGAGATAATGTACTTACCACCCATCTGTGTGTAACAGATGTTTCCCCAATGATAGAGGAGAAGAGACCTCCTGCTTGTTCCACACTTGCTGATCGTCTCTGACCCTCGACTGATTGTTGAGCATTATCTGCTAACCCTGTGCACACCATAAGAAGCCTGAAGAAAATTAAGTACTGTAGTATAAATAATTACTAAATGTACCATCCATCAGAACATGTTTTTTCTCTAGCATGTAATTTTTTAACATTTTTTAAGAAAAATAATATAGCATGGTTTAGTTGCTAAGATAACAAAGGTTCAGTCAACTTTTTCATATAAAACACTAAGTAATATCATGTGTCAGTCAAATAAATTGACTATAAAACTGACAAAGACAAGCCACTCTTTTCATTATTTATACAGTAGTTGCCTAGTTTTAAGAATTTTGTTTCAGGCCAATTTTACTTTTGCTTAAGCAGATCTTCAGTGCTTAGAAGAAATGTACATTTTTAAACAATTCTCAAAAGTAGTCAGAGCAAAGGCCTTCCAATTTTGGCAGATTTTTTATCGGTTACAAAAAGTTTCCCTTCACATATTCAATTCAATTCAAGTTTATTCTCTATAAGGGTTACAATGTGGGGTTTACAGGTTTTGGGTATTGTGTGGTTTACATGTTATAAAATACTAATTACAGAGGGGGCCACTAGGACACCTAGCATGGCGGGCATTTCGAGCAGACTTAGATTAATTCTTACATATAACCCACACATAGCAGAGAGGAGCTTACAATGATATTTTGGTCCAATTTGGACCATTTACAAAGTCACACTAACAGAAAGGAAAGAAGGGGGCAATATATAAAAGCTAGCAGACAGGGATGGGACAAGAGAGGTAGTGGTAGAGGTAGTAGTAGCAGTGGAGTCAGTAGAAGACAAAGAAAGAGGAGCACTGCAAGGGAGTTAGGGGCCCACGAAAGGAAGGAACAAAAACACAGATGGGGGAAAAATATAATAATGGACCAGACACCCAAGGCAGAAGAAAACCCGAAGGAGAAAGAGGAATAGGAAACAGGAAAGAGGGAGGAGAAAAAAGAATCAGGTTAGGTCACGGGTGTTCTGAAGTTTGGAGCATTTTACAATGTAATGGGAAAGGAAAGCATCTACAGAGACAAAGCCAGGACTAAGATTCATACACATTGTGTATTTGGGAGGATTCAATCAGACGACAACTGTGAAAGTTAGAAGTAGGGTAGACAGTTTTAGCAGATGACCAGTCAATATGATGACTGTGATCTCCAACAGGAGAAAAAAGAGCATCGTTGGTGTCAGCAAACTTATCACTACTTCTGTGCTCTCCGAGTCTGTCAGAAAGGGAATGGTCAGTTTCTCCATAGTACTGAAGAGGACACGAAGAACAGGAAATAGAGTAGACACCAGGAACATCTATAGAGGGAAGAGAGGTATGAACCAGATTGGTGGAAAGAGTGTTGAGATTAGAAAGACTGGAAAAAAAGTGGACCCTCTGTTTTTGTTAATTCCCTCTGGTTTCGTCAGTCATACGGAACACGTCCGAGTGCCCGCACGCACACAAAGCCTCCCACACACCATTCTGAGCCATGGTGGCATTAATTCTCAGTGAATAAACATTGCACTGCAAAGTCATACGAAACATTTCATAATAATCCATTGTTTTTTGCACTTATTTGTGCTTGATTGCTAAATAAGCCACCTTGGGCCCAAAAAAAGCTCCTAGTGCCAGCCCTATGGTAAAGAAGGTGAGAAACACGATAGAATTCAAGAAAAAACTTGTAGCAAAGTACCAAAGTGGAGGAGGAAGAGAGAGGGGAGAATGTGCCTTCTTCAGTGACTCAGGGATTCTACGACATGTGTTCGACTAAACCTTTACAAAAATTCAATGCATTTCGAAGGACCTAAAATCTCGAACACTCTACCTGAAAACTCTAGAACTGCAGACACATTCATCACTTTCAAAACTACAGTTAGAAAACATCTTATCTCCCTGATCCACCCCAACAACTAACTACATGATAACCACCTGGTGGTTCACAATTACACTCACTCATCCACTGACTATAAACCTAGAAATACTAATCTTAATCTTAAAATAATAAATCCTAACTAGTCATAAGTTTGCCTATGATACTCCAATATAGACACTTTGTATTGTGCCAAAACAAAAACATTCACATTGCTAAACTCACAAATTATGATGAAGTCACTTAGCCTTAATACCATAATCTGTAAGGATTTAATGTTAAGAATTATTCTAAGTCTGCTCAAAATGCTTAACCATGCTAGGTGTCCTAGTGGCCCCCTCTGTAATTAGTATTTTATAACATGTAAACCACACAATACCCAAAACCTGTAAACCCCACATTGTAACCCTTATAGAGAATAAACTTGAATTGAATTGAATTGAACTGAATGTACAATACTAAAGCAGCAGGAGTCGATATAGGCTAGTGATAAAGTGTAGCAATAACAGTGTAGCAAGCAAGTTAAGCAATTATGCGATAGAAAGAGGACACGAAACTAACTCTTCCAATGTTGTTGGAGGTATATAGGGCCACTGACAAGATATGCTGCCTGTGTATCTTCCACCACCCTACACCAATGCCAGCTTCTCCTCCAAGGTAAGTGAAAATATTTCTTATTTATAAATTACGTACATATTTTCGGTGTGAATAGTGGTGGTGGCCTCTGATGCTACCACTATATGTACGGCTTATGCTATCAGTGTTCCTGATGAACCCAACACCACCACCATCACTCCTCACATACATAATGACATATTTTATTCATTCTAGAGAATATATCATGTTTCTATGTTATTAATATTGTATATTATGTTGTATTAGATGAAATGTGATAGATAAATAAGCCACAGAGTTGATATTAGGATCATATTTAAGCATTTTGTCCTGTCTCCATACAATAAACTCGCCTTCCTCTCCGCTCTTTGCCATTTTCTACACGACAACAAGACTTTTCAATAAATCAATCAATCAATCAAGTTTATTCTCTATAAGGATTACAATACGGAGTTTACAGATTTTAGTTATTGTGTAGTTTACATGTAATAAAATACTAATTACAGAGGGGGACACTAGAATCCCTAGCATGGCTAGGCATTTCGGGGAAACTTAGATTAATTCATAACCCTAAATTATTACAAATTATGGAGTAAGTTGACTAAATACTAAGTGACTAAATACTAGTTAGTGAGTTCAGCAATGTGAATGCTTTTGTTTTGGCACAATACATCGTTTATATATTGGAGTATCACAGGCAAACTTATGACTAGTTAGGAATCTTTATTTTAAGATTAAGATTCGTATTTCTGAGCTTATAGTCAAATGGGCAAGTGAGTGAGTGTAAGTGTGAACCACCAGATGGTTTTTATGTAGTCAGTTAACGGGGTGTATCAGGGAGATAAGATGTTTCCTAACGGTAGTTTTGAAGGTGATGAATGTGTCTGCAGTTCTAGAATTTTCAGGTAGGGTGTTCCACATTTTAGGGCCTTTGACATACATTGAATTTTTGTAAAGGTTTAGTCGGACACAGGGAATGTCGTAGAGATGTTTGTGACTGGTGTTATGCCTGTGGGTCCTGTCACAACTATCAAGAAAGCGTTTTAGGTCAAGGTTAATATTGGAATTTAAGGTCCTGTATATGTAGATTGCACAGTAGCAAGTGTGGATGTTCTGAACAGGGAGTAAGTTTAGATCTATGAAGAGTAGAGGGGTGTGTTGCCAGAGATGGGATTTAGTGATTGTTCTTACTGCAGCTTTTTGTTGGGTTATTACTGGCTTTAGGTGTGTTGCTGCAGTTGATCCCCAAGCACAAATAGCATTGGTGAGGTATGAATAAATGAGTGAATGGTATAGTGTGAGAAGGGCATTTTACGGCACGTAGTATCATATCTTGGAGAAGATCCCAACTGTATTGGATACTTTTTTTGTTATGTGTTGGATATGGGTGCTGAAGTTCAGGTTGTTGTTGAGGTATAGGCCTAGGAATTTGCCCTCATTATGTCTGGCAATCAGAGTGTTGTCGATCTTGATGTTAAGTTGCGCAACACCTGCTCTGCTACCAAACAAAATATAGTAGGTTTTGCCAGTGTTTATTTATTTATTTATTTATTTCCAATTTGAGCACACATACAGAGGTACAAAAAAATACAGATAAGAGCAGCATGCCAAAGCCACTTATACTATGCATAGCATTACGGGGTGTTAAGTGTAAGTTTGTTGGCTGTCATCCAAGTTGATATTTTGAGCAGATCCTCATTAACAATGGTGTTGAGGGTGGCAAGATTAGGGCGAGAGATGACATAAGTCGTGTTGTCAGCAAAGAGAATGGGTTTCAGGTGTTGGGATACGTTTGGAAGATCATTGATGTAAATGAGGAAGAGCAGGGGTCCAAGAACACTTCCCTGTGGAACTCCAGTATCAAGTGGCCATGTTGATGTTACTGTGTCCTTAATGGTGACATACTGATACCTATTAGTAAGGTAGGATTTAAAATATGCAAGTGCATGGCTTCTTATACCATAATGGTCAAGTTTGTGGAGTAGGATGCCGTGGTCTACTGTGTTAAAAGCTTTTCTTAGGTCAATAAAAATTACTAGTGGATATTTCTTATTTTCCAATACTGTGTAAAGCAGATCTAGTATTTTTACAATTGCATCATTAGTGTTTTAATTTTTCCTGAATGCAAATTGGCAGGGGTTGAGTATGTTTTTTGCCGTTATAAGTGAATATAGTCTCCTGTGCACGAGTTTCTCGAAGATTTTGGATAGCAATGGTAAGTTTGATATTGGCCTATAGTTGTTTACATCTGTAGGGTCACCACCTTTATGTATTGGTGTAACCCTTGCTGTCTTGAGTAGTTTTGGGAAGGTGCTAGTTTCTAGTGACTTGTTAAAAAGTAATGAAATAGCATGTGAAAGGACATGGGCCGCTTGCTTGTACAATAATGGTGGGACATGAGACACATTCCCCGAGTTATTTTTAACCCTTTGAGGGTCGACAGGCCCTCTCCGAAACTCGTTCTCAGGGTCGGCCAAATTTAAAAAAAAAAAAAATTATTTTCTCTTATGAAAAGATAGAGAATCTTTTCCCGATCATAAAGACACCAAAAGTTTGAAATTTGGTA